GGTGAGGATGTGAAGTACACGTTGTACATCTCGGGAGACACGCTATACTACGATGAATTAAAGGTGCGTGTAAATCAAGACGGCGGCAGTAGGGTAGTCTGACAGCGGAGTCAACAGGAGATTCGGGTGAAGTATCCCACCATCAATCTTGCATTGCTCCATCTGGGTGGGACGACCATTCCTGTTATAAACGTCATGGTCACGATGGACGCTGAGCAGGGCATGCAACTCCTGTGTGCATTGAATCCCGAGCGAGCGATTCCCATACAGTGCGACTGGAATTTCTCTTACAAATTTTATTGATGCTGATAGTGAATCCAGCATGGACGACTACGATGCATTCTTGAGTGGGCTTGACGACTTCAAGAAGGTCGTAGAACGGGAGGGGTGGGGAGACAGGGTCACGTTCTTGGACCGTGGAGAGGCATACTACTTTTCTCGCACCAAGTAGTCTGCATTTGTCTGTGTGTCCAAGAGGCTTCGTTTGTATAACAGGGCCGTCTTCTCTGTGCGGAGTCGGTTTGCGCGCGAAGTTCGGGGGAGGGCTTGGATGTCACATGGTCCGTGATCTCGGGTTTGTATTGAAGTGACGAGAGACCTTGCTCGGCTTACAGCCGGCCTACTCACGGAACATGAATTCTCATGGTTTTGCAGACCGAGAAGGAGACTAGAGCAACGCAAGACTCACGGCCTGCGTGCGCAGGTCGCGAGCGAGTCTGTAATAGAGTTGCTTGATGCAACTATCAATCATTACACATAGCGCAATCCGGGAAACGATCTACACGAAAGATGAATTAAGAAGCTTCAAAATCAACTTCTTCAGTACCAAGATGCTCGTCGATCACACGGGATAGAATATCATAGCCGCCAGCGGGCCCGGTTTCACACTCTCTAGCTTCCACCCGGTCGCATCTCCGAGCGCCGAGAACTGGCTCAAAGTCCTCTCCTGCCCCGTGAACGAGCTCATCATCTAGGTGGAATCAACTCAACAAGGGTGTCAACGACGTCAAAATCGGGGGAAAGGCGCACCTGCAAGTCCAGCGCGGTGGCGAAGCCGCCCGCAGCGATACCGAGATTCGCTAGGAGCGGAAACGGGGTGGGCGAGGGGCCCGCCGGATCGGGGCATGCGTAGGGCATGAGCATGTCGAAGACGATGAGTTTAGAGGACGGTGCAGCGGCAGCGCGGAGATGCTGCAAAATCTCGAGGCACTTGGAGTCGCGCCAGTCGTGGAGGATGAGACGCAGGAAGTACACCGTCGCCCCTTTCACGGGCTGTGGCTCCAGGAAGCTGTGACCTGAGGCATGCATGTGAGAATGCTCCTTCACTGGTGACTTATATCATACCTTGCAACGTGACGATGCCGTTGGAAACGAGCTCGGGCGCCTGTTCTTGCCAATACTACAAACGATTACAAACGAGTCGCCTTTGATAATGTGTAGCGTCATACTTTTTGTGCCGGTTCGCCAACGACTTTCTCGAGATCTTGTACGATGTACTTCACGTGGGGATACGCCTGAGCCAGATTGAGTACCGTGGTGCCGATGCCACCGCCTACGTCCACGACGACACTGCCTCTCTCGAGCGAGTTCCAATCGTATCCTTGGGGGGAGAATGAGCAAAATATGACCGAGCGATCGTCTTTTATTTACCCTCCATGAAGACTCTCGGGTTGTAATTACCCGTCATTGCGGTGGCGAATCGTCGACCACGCCATTCGTTGCCAGGCTCCTCGAACCATTCCCAGATCGAGGCTTTGGTATTGAAGGCCAAATTGAAAGGCGCATCCACGCCTTTCGGAGAATCACGGACGAATTCGACGAAATATCCATTGCTCCTGAGTCCTTCATCGGTCCTAAATAGGGTTTTAATAAGCGTTCTAGACATGAATCGTGAAGACTGGCTGAACATACATGTGTCCAACCAAAGCTGCGGCGCTCGCGCCGTCATACTGCCTCAATTTACTGCAACATGAGAATCGTAGTCAAATTTTGTTAGAATTGAAGGTCGGCAAGCGATGCTCACTCTAACTTCAACTGTTCGAGAGGTTGGCTCTTCATGAGCGCTGACGACACCCGGTTGTTGGCGAAGACATCTGGGGCTACTTCCTTGAAGACATGGCGTGTTGCCAAGTAGCGAAGCACGCGAGCTTGTAGAACCAAGTCCTTCAGTCGCCGTCGAATACTGAGCCTGTGCAACATACCCAATTTCTTTGGATCAATATCGACCTTCGCCCCGATTTGGTCCACGTGTAAGCCCTGTGACGCAGGTGAGCGTCGCTCGTATCGTAGCATACGATGAAAGCCTACCTCGGGGTTGTCCTTCAGAGCATCTGGAACGTGTACATCCGTGACCAGTCCCATAGCGGACGTCATGCATGTCGCCGGCGCATAGTTCAGAAGTGTCATGACAGGCTGCTGGACGGTGGCGATGAGCTGGTGTGCAGCGGCGATAATCAGCTGCGTGGCTGCGGTCACAGTGGCATCGGTGTCAAGAGGTCCTGGGCTATACGGTCCATCGAGCGAAGGGAATGGAACACCTTGCTGCGAATACGTAGCATCGAGTGTCCGCACTCCAGAGGATATCAGATCTGCGAGTGCAATGAGAGGGCTTGTATCGTGCATCCTGACCTGAGTGGGGAAGTTAGGATGAGATAGAGCGTGAAAGAGAGGTGGTTTATATGTGGCGAAAGCCTGGCTGGCCTTCACACGCACGTCCGGTCGAGCAAGCTTTCCCGAGAATCAAGGTCAGGATCTCACTGCATTCATGCAAAGCCTCGTGCCGCTGGAAATCCATGGGCTTGGGACTAAGGTGGGAAGTCAGCGGAGATCCGCTCGGGATTGAAGAGAGGCAGTGTAGAAATGGAGGGCCTTGCTGGTTTTCTCGTAGAACAACTGGGGGAAGTCGAATGTCTCCGACGGTAGTGACACTGCGACAATTATCCAGACACATGGAGATCAAGGTAACATCGGGGCGCCGTTACGGGGCTACGCGCAGATCAGTGCACACCCTGCGACAATACGCCATAAAATCGGGGGAATGACTGCAACATACTCAATAGCTGGCTGATACGTACGTTGAGAGTTTTGACTGTGTATTCTTGATGGCGAGCTCGGGGTTTGTGGAGACCGTGGAGTAAGAAGCTTGGCGTGAGCTAGAACTTGGCGTGTGGTGAGTAAACAGACTTCCTGTCACTTTCTGTCAGTTGAATACCGGAGTGGTGGCCTCGACGTCCACACGGTAAGTGCTATACCCATGCAGACCGGATTATACATTCGAAGTATACATGGGTTGGCAGACTGTGGGGAACGTGGATAAATTGAGACGGCGACAATCGGACGACGTAGAAGAGACCGAAAATGTCGCCTGTAACAGTCAAGATACTATGTTCCTCTGCAATTGGAACGACTTCAAGTTTCTGCGTTGCCACGCAACTGAATTGACAAACCCTTGAGGAGTTCCCTGGGATAATCACTTCGGAAGAATCAGCTTATATACGGGTTGCCGCGGCTGGCAGTTTGGCGACGGGACAAAGACCCGCCCAAGACGCGTAGACGTCGTGGAAAACTGAGACCTGAGACCTGGTAGGGTTTCAGAAGGATACAACTGTTTCGAATTGTCGCTGGCTGGAATGGTGAGCAAGTAGTTGAACTTGAATAGTCGAGTGCGAATGCCATAGTCAGACGGTGAGTTGGGTGATCATGACGGGCCGCCTGGAAATGTCCGGGCGGAATGCCAAAAAATTGGCGCCCAGCGCCCCGATAGACATCCCAAACTATTTCTCTTACTGATTTGTATGTAGCTCCCATCTCTGAGTCGACGTCCGGCTTGTCTGGACACGAGGCTATCACCACAATGCACAGAAGGTGGGCGCGTCCAACTGTATTGTGATCACCAACGATGTATTGGGCGCCAGGGCGGACGGCCGGCGGGTGCGCCCAAGACGAGGTATATGGAATAGAGTCAGTGATACCGTACTTTCACTGCTCACCCTCTGATCCATCTATGTCTGGGTATAGCACGCCGAGCGTCACTTCCAAGTTTCCCCTGGACTTCTGGCACCTCATGAATGAAGCCCCTGGCTACCTCGATATGCTGTGGCTGAGGTGGGTAGACCGGTAACCGTTCTGTCTAGACGACGAAGAGGAAGGCAATCTCGTCGTAGACACGACAGAATGCCCGCATTTTAATGTCGCAACGTTCAGACAGATACTGGTTAAGAGTCTATGAGCTGGGTTGTTCTCTATTATCAGTACGGTGAACTCAGCGATTCCAGACTCCGTGTGGACCGCCCAATTCTTTCGGACAGTGTGGGATCTATGTTTCACGCCCCCGGAAGACGACGCGACGCACTGATTTCGCCGCTCTTTGATGGTACGCTCACTGACAACTGGGCTCGCCAATACTATATGACAATCTCGGTCTCGGAGTCGTCGTTTTTGTGTGGGCACTTCTGTCTCTGAAGGGTTCTCTTTTTGTCGTGTTTCTCGCATATAGAAAACAGCGTGCCGTTCTCCCAGGTGCGTAGATGCCAGGCTTCTTCTCTCCATGCTTGTCGCGACTTGCGTTTAAAGTTCAGTACTTCTATAGCTGTGATGACACGCCCCGGAGCACATTTCCACACTAAGAGTGACACATACGTGAGGGAATCTGTCACCTTTAACATCCCGCATTGATCGTTGTACAGAAAGGCTGTCGGAAAAATGCGGGTTAATGGGTCATGGCGATGGCGGAGTGCATGAAGAAGTCAAGGTGATAGAAGTGTAAGTATGCACGCTGAGAGTCAATCGTGATGAGCTGGCCCGAGTAATGTCGCCGCAACGCAACTTCATATTTGATACCAGTTGATACTCAAGAAGGCGAAATATTGGACACCCGGCAAAGCCGTCCTCTCTGAGCCTGCAGTTCTACAGTACCGCGAAGGTGGTGAAGGCGTGTGAGACAACCCGAGAAAAAATACCGTAAATTCGAAGAAAAATCGTGGATCATACCGCAAGAACGCTGATGAGAGTGGGATTTGAACCCACGCCCTTTCGGACCAGATTCCAGGCTGAACTACCTTAGTCTGGCGCCTTAGACCGCTCGGCCATCTCACCCGGACATTTCCGATCCTTTGGAGGTGAATTCAGCAGGACGACGTCCGTAGCCTTCACCAGCGGATCGAAAAAAATTGTTGGCTTGTATCAATTCATCTCGACGATGCAATGGGGCATGGCGACTGAGATCTGGGGCTGAACGCGCTCGAGGAATTAGGACCGTAAAGGTGGCATGCCAAATTCGGGTGTCTGGGGTCTCGCTGCATCGACGTGCCGACCGGCTCGCGCACGTCCTTCTCCCTCGTTTTCCTCTATTTAACTTGCATCCCCAGAGAATCGTTCAGATCGAGGCAACGATAGTTGGCCCCACGGATAGCTAGAGCGTACTAACCACAGCCTGCCTGTTGTCGACATGGTATCTGGTGCTTTGCAGGTTGAAAGTGAAGCTTGAGCGTGCATGCGCAAGTACGCTTGCGCCCAACAGCGGCCAGAGCTCCTGCCAATCCCACAGTATGTCAGTTCATTATGAGCGCGCCCCAGCCTGGTCAGCGCGGTACCACCAGCGCCTGGTAACGCGTTTTTCGTGAACAAGCCCAATTTGATAGAGCAGCACACTCGGGCCCCTTCGGAAGCGGTGAGTGAGAACATCGGTGAGCGCCTCCCTGCTCAATAGCCTATGAGATGGATGTGCCATCACGCACACTCCTTCCTTTTTCCTCTTCTTCCACCTTCGACCCCTCCTTTCCCCAGTCTGCTCCTCCTCGTTGGGGCGCTTGGTCGCCCATTGCATCATGTCGGCAGTGTACAACTCTACGACTCAAATCGTGGACGATAATTCGCCGGACATCGCGTACTCTCCTTCGTCTGCATGGACGTTGGGTGGGACGGACAACGAGTACGACGGGTCCACCCATGGCTTCGTTGGTACCAACACCGAGAAGGGCACAGCATCTTTTCAGTTTGAAGGTTAGTTCCCCTCTTTTTCACCGTCTTCCGTGCTCTTGTTAAGGTGTTGTCTTTCAGGCAGTGCCGTCGAGGTTCACGGGACGGTCGGACCAGCAGACGGTGCACCAATTGCTACCTATCAGATCGACAATACCACTCCTGTCTCTATTGGGACTAGCCCTGAAGCCAACACGACATATAACGTCTTATTCTACAGCTCATCGAACCTGGATCCTACCACACTCCACACGCTCGTTATCACACCCATCGGTGCCGCTGATTCGCGCTATTGGCTGGATTATATCCTCTTCACTCCCCCATCCGCCGCCAACGCGTTGTCTTCTGCATCTGCGGCTCCTCCGAACTCAGTCGTTCCCTTACCCAGTGTAATATCTCCAAGTGCGGATCCGCAGTCGTCTAGGAATTCTGCCCCATCCTCTGTTTTGACGGCATTCAGCACCCCGGCACGGACAGTGTCGCAGCCTGATGCCACGGCTTCAGGATCTATTCCGACGCCCACTCCGGTCCCATCGATGCGGAACATCGGTGCCATCGTCGGTGGCGCGGTTGGAGGATTCGTCGGCCTTGCCATCCTCTTCGCCTTGCTCTACTTCTTCAGGCTGCGGCGCAGGTTCCAGCGGTATTACTGGTCTAAAAAGGAGATCGGGGATATGTTGGGCCCAGGTCCGTCAAATTCTCGCCCGATTCTCATTTGCATGTTGACATTTTTTCCAGAGCTCCCGTCGCCGGTGCAGTACCCGAAGCAGTATTCAGACCGCGACATACGTTCTCTTCCGTTGTCTGCATCCTCCATACGCCTCATGAGCGTGGTCGAGGGTCAGTCCGGGGACACAGTCTCGCAGGTCTCATACGGGTCAAGACTTGCTCCAGACCCTCCGGTGTCACGGTCGTCTTCTCCATCTGACGACACGAGGCTGCAAGAATCGGGAGTACCGGTTCCCTTTACGCTGTCTCAGCATCTTGCAGGCGCAACCACCAACAAAAGAGGCAGGCTTCTGCCGGAACCGCCGATGACGTATCATTCCGACGGTGGCATCCGGCTGGCATACAATGATGAGGTATTCTCCAGCAAGCATGATCCTCCGCTTCGAGTCGTAGATATTCCTCCCGCATACGGACGATACTGAATTTTTGGACTGTCGTACAGGTATATCCTTGGCGTGGTTCTTCTCTCTTTACTCGCCGCTCCCTTACACCCCTCTCTTTTACTGTTTGTTCCGCGTTTTCGGTGCGTAGTATATTGACCTGACTTTTCAGACGCATTGCTGCTCCTTGGTGAGGTCTTGGAGAGATCTGAATATTTTCTCAGGGTGCCGACCGCCGTGCTCAGAACGCACCGTAGCGAGCCCTGTAGCAAGCCTGGATTCTGTGCACATATCGTACCAGGTGCCTTCAGAGAGCTGTCGTGGTGCCATCCAGAGCAGTTGAAGCAGTCAAGCAGAGATACTACGACTTGGAAGAGGATCTTATCTTATCTACTTACCTACCAACGGGGCGCCCAACGCCAGCCGACTCGCACGTCCGACACGCCCCCTACGCGCCCATAAGTGAAATTGATCGATATCATCTGACAAGCTAAAGGACAACAGCCGCGACCCTTCGCGACCATGGCCTTCTAGGGCCTTCTTCTGCTGTAGGGATTATGATACGTAATTTTCGAAGCCCTTTCTTTTCTGTCTCTCATACCATCCACGGTCATCAATAAACGACTCGGATCGCCTTCGAATGGCCGTGCAGTTCAATTCAACGACGCTCATAGTCGACGACAACTCCACTCTCATCTCGTACTCAGCTTCACCTCCTTGGCAACTGGGTGGCCAGAGCATTGAGTATGATGGAACAACTCATGGCTTGGTCGGGCCCAACACCCTCAACGCTACGGCGACCTTCCGCTTCACTGGTGAGCAACCTCTCACTCGCCATCAATTGGTCGCAGGTTGTTTTACCACCGTTGGATTAACATAGGCAGTGCCATTGAGGTGTATGGTACGGTCGGACCGATAGACGGCGGCGGGCCTGCCGTGTACCAGATCGACGGCATGCCTCCCGTCCTCAGCACCAACCCTCTTCAGACAGACACGGTACCCAGTCTACTGTTTTACAGGTCCCCGCCGCTGGATCCGACTACCCCCCACATCCTCATCATCACACCCGCTGGCGACAATACGACGCGCTACTGGTTGGACTATCTCTTGTACACCCCTCCACTTCCCAACGCTACCGCCACATCTTCGTCTTCGTCGTCGTCTGTCTTGCCCACGGCATCGGAGCCCTCGAGCCCCGATGCGACAAACTCAGTAAAACACCACGATGTGCCTGTCGGGGCTATCGTCGGTGGGGCCGTTGGGGGTGCAGTCGCACTGGCCATTATCTTGGCGTTGATTTATATCATGAAGCTTCAGCGCAAGCTCCAGCGATATCATTGGTCGAAGGACAAGATTGAGGAGATGTTGACCCCAGGTGAGTGGAAAATGTTGCTGTATCCCCTCCGTCTCATTGTTTTGTCGTACAAATGCAGAACTGCCACCACCGAGTCACTATCCCGAGATGCAGCATTCCACCAGCTATGTCAACGTGCCACTCATGAGCTCTGTCGACGACTCAGTACATCCTGGACACGGGTCGAACATTTCCAGTCTCTCATCAACGGGAACGACACGACCGCATTTGCTCAGTGCTACGTCAGCGGAGTCACCAGCACCTGTATCGAATGCACGTCCGTCAAAAGCTTTGAGAGCACAGCGGGCATCGCCTGTGCCACCAGAAGACGTGCAGTATCACCGGGACGGAGGGATTAGACTTGAGTACCAGCCGCCGGAGAATCGCGACCCGGATGAAGTTCCGGTGGATGTCCCTCCGGTGTATGGACGGTATTGATCAACGGAGACGCTGTGAGCATTTCGTGTGTTATTTTATTTCTGTCTACCTCAGATTGGACTGGGACTTCACTCGCACGCCGGGACGGTTGTTCTCTCGTTTCTGGCTACTTATAGCAGCCGCTGACTACTCCCCGGGCTGTACATTACTTCCTTTCGTCGATTCCCTGGACATCTCACTATACCAACGTACATTCATCCCATCTCTTGCTTCCAGAGCCCTCGTTACCCCACCGTGCTATCCACGTCGACATGCGCAAAATGACCCATGCAAAATATATCGCCGTCTATGCCCATCGTGTCGCTCCCGTGTCTGTCTAAACCAAGATGCCGTTTCAACCCCATCACAGCAGAACGACCACCTACCATTGATAACATGAAGACTAGTGATGAACGCAGGCAGGTCGTGGCAAGCAAGCATCCTTCGGAACAGCCTACGCCATCGATGACTGTCAAGTATATTTTTAGTGTGATCGGAATCTGTGGGACAAAACGAACCAGACATCAAGTTCGACCGAGATGTCAGTCGGCCATCCTGGTGTGAGCGTCGAGGAGCATCACAGTAAATCATCATCTTCCCATACTATCTGCAGTCCGACAACACCACTTCGTGATTAGGCTGTACTTATCGTCTAGGTGAAAAGTGCTCTTCGTCGACTGGGGCAGCCACAGAATTCACCTGATTTACCTATTCGGAAATTTTTTGAAAACAGTAAACAAGTCTGCCTCTGCAATGCAATCAATCGAGCCTGATGACGGGGGTCTCAGTTGATGCTCTCTCTCTTCCAGTTCGAAGACCAGAAAACCCTGGAAATATGGCGAGCGCTCCGCAATCAATGGAGGCACTCCAGAGTATTCTTGAAACACCACCGGAGCAGTCAGTATGGGGCAAAGCTGTTACTGGCGCACGCTATGTAAACTTTGGTCTCGAAGAAGTCTCAAAGCTAATCGAACATCGCCTTCTCCGAAACCCCGTCCCTCAGTGTGATCGAGCACTTGAACGGTGTTGGATGGCTACCGGATAAAAGCCCATTTAAAACGAGCCACAAGTTTGGAACAGAACAGTATACGGACCTGACGAGCGCTCCGGTGAACTCAGGTGCCACGTGAATATCGCATCCGTACTCATCCTTGGCAGGACGGACGTCGAAAACGGCTAGAACAGACACGGCCACAAACCACACATTACTGTCAACGAGATGTCGTCCTGGGCATATC